GGAGAGAGGTCTGGGATGGAGCTGTAAATATGTGAGTCCTCACACTGTATGTAATCATTTGGAGAAAAATAGGAAAGAGAAAAGGTCCAAGCATTAAACACAGGGCGTGCCAATATTTAAGTCAGGGAGATGAAGAGGAATCAACAAAGGAGTGGAGAAGGAGCAGTCAGAAAGATAAGAAGAAAACTAGATGACTGTCTTGTCTTGGAAGCCAAGTGATGGTGGGGAGTGTTTTGAGCTGGTGAGAGTAGTCAACTATGTCAAACCCAGCTGATTGGTAAAGAAAGGTGGAGAATGAAAATTGGCCATTAGATTTAGCAACATGGAAATCTTCGATGACCAAGATAAGAGCAGTTTTGGTGGTGAGATGGAGGCAAGAACCTATCTGGAGTGGATTCAGAGAATATTTAATGAACATCTACTGCTTTTAATGAACTGTAAGCTCCTTACAGGCTGGAATTATGCTTTGTTCACTGCTGCATCCTATCAGTCAGGCAGAGGGTGAATTCTCCCTTACCCCGCCTTTTGTTCTGTTCAGACCTCGCACAAATCACATGCGGCCCCCTCACATTTGGGAGGGCAATCTGCTTTACGCACTCTGCTGATTCACGTGTTGATCTCATCCAGAACACACTCACAGACACACCCAGAATCCTGTTTAACTGAATATCTGGGCACTCGGGTCAGTCAAGTTGGCATATGCAGTTAACCATCACAAGAGCCATTGAGGTGGCCTTTAAATCTACCATTTTGCTATTTTTATCCTATTTGTCCCATCAGTTCTTTGTTCTCTTTTTTCCTGTTTATCTGCCTTCTTTAGAGTCACTGGATATTTTTGGCTGTGATTCTATTTTACCTCCTTTGTTGGCACATTAGCTGTAACTTTCTGTTGTGTTTTCTTGTTGGTTTCTTAAGATTTACACCGTGGTCCTCAAACAAAGGCAGTTTGGCCTCCCGGGGGATTTTCTGGCAATGTCTGGAGACATTTTTGACAAAACTGGGCAAAATGCTGGTTTGTACTGATTTTTCTTTAACTTAATCACAGTCTGCTTTCAAGTAGTATTACACCATTTCACACATAGTACAAATACTTTACAACGTAGACATTTCTTCCTCCCAGCATTTATAGTTGTTCTACATTTTATTTCTGCACATAAGCCCCACAATAAATTATTTTTTTCCTTGAGTCAATTATTTTTAAGATTTTTTTAAATAAAAGATAATTTTTATATTTAACCACATATTTGTAATTCCTCAGTCTCTTCCTTCTTCTGTATAGATCCAGATTTCCATCTGATATCATTTTGTGTCTGCCTCGAGGACTTCGTTCAGCATTTCTTGTAGTGCAGGAATGTTGGTGGTGAATTCTTTCAGCTTCTATGTTTGTGAAAAAGTCTTTATTTTACCTTTATCTTTGAAAGGTATTTTTGCTGGGCATACAATTCTAAGTTGATAGGTTTTTTGTTTTTTTTTTTTAATGCTTTAAAACTGTTGTCCCACTGTCATTTGTTGTGCACTGTTTTTTGACAAGAAAACATTCTTGTCAGTTCATTTCTTCTCAATTCAATTCATTCTTCTCAATTCTTCCTAATGCTCTTATATAATGTGTCTTTTTTCTCTGGCTACAGTGTAAGATTTTTCTCTTTACCACTGATTTCGAGAAGTTTGAGTATGATGTGCCTTGGTGTAGTTTTCCTCATAATTCTTATGCTTTGGGTTCTTGAGCTTATTGGATCTATTAGTTTATAGTTTTCATCAAATTTGGAAAATGTTCAGCTGTTACTTCTTTAAATAGTTTTTCTGTCCTCCCTCATCTTCACTCTCTCCTTTGAAGTCTCCAATAACATATATATTCAGCTGCTTGAAGTTATTCACTGATGCTTAGCACATGTTTTTTTTCCTTTTTTCTTTCTTGTCTTTGTTTCATTTTGGATACTTTCTATTGCTGTGTTTTCAAGCTCACCAGTCTCGTCTTCTGCAATGTCTGATCTGCTCTTAATCCCATCCAGTGTTGTTTTGTCTCAAACATTGTATTTCTTATGTCTAGAAGTTTGATTTGGTTCTTTTTTTGTATCTGCTATGTCTCTACTTAACACGTTCAATCATTCCTTACCTTTTTTAACATATGCAATGCAGATATAAAAAATATTTTAATGTCCTTCCCTGCTATTATAAACATTTATGTCAGTTCTTTGTCCGTTTTGATTGAATGATTTTTCTTTGCATTATGAGTCATTCTTTCCCTGCTACTTTGCACTACTGGTGTTTCTTATTGGATTCCAGTTATCGTGAATTTTACCTAGTTGGATGTTGGATGTTTTTATATTCTTGTAAATATTCTTGAGCTTTATTTGAGGATGCAGCTAAGTAACACTCAAGGCTTGCTTTTAAGGTTTATTAAGTGAGACCAGGGCAGCATAACTTGGGAGCATAATTTTGCCCCATTACTAAGTACTCAGTACCTTGTTTATTATAGGGCTGTATTTTTTTTCATCCTGGCTAGTGATAAGATGAACTATTCCTGGCTTTGTGTGAGCCTAGCAAGTTTTCCCTCTGATCCTTTCCAGTGGTTCCTTCCCCACTTTGTGTAGTTTCCTCTTATACATGCCCTTTCAGTATGTGGGAAAAGGAATTACTAGCTGTTGGTGAAGTAATTTAGATAAGATTTCTAATGACAAACAGTTGGCTTTGATCAAAGGATAGAGGGTAATATAATTTATGTCATGTCCTTAAAATAAAGAAAGTTAACATCAGTCTTAGCAGTATATTTTCAAATACCGTGTCTTCTCAGGCAAGGGAAACAAAAGAAAAAATAAACAAATGGGACTACGTCAGACTAAAAAGCTTCTGCACAGCAAGGGAAACCATCAACAAAACAAAAAGACAACCCTCCAACTGGGAGAAAATATTTGCAAATCATTTATCCAACAAGGGTTAATTTCCAAAATATACAGAAAACTCATACAACTCAACAACAAAAAAATGAACAACCTGATCAAAAAATGGGCAGAGGATCTGAACAGACATTTTTCCAGAGAAGGTATATAGATGGCCAACAGGCGCATGAAAAGATGTTCAGCATCACAAGTTATTAGGGAAATGCAAATCAAAGCTACAATAAGATGTCACCTCACACCCGTCAGAATGATTATAATTAACAAGACAAGAAATAACAAGTGTTGGAGAGGATGTGGAGAAAAGGGAACCCTCATTCACTGCTGGTGGGAGTGCAGACTGGTGCAGCCACTATGGAAAACAGTATGGAGATTCCTTAAAAAAGTAGAAATCCCATATGATCTAGCTATCTCACTACTGGGTATTTATCCAGATAAAGAACATGAAATCAACAACTCAGAAAGATTTATGCATCCTTACGTTCATCGCAGCATTATTCACAATAGCCAAGAGATGGAAGCAACCCAAGTGCCCATCAATGGATGAATGGATAGAGAAGATATGGAATGGAAAACTACTCAGCCGTAAAAACAGACAAAATCATGCCATTTGTGACAAGATGGATGGACCTTGAGGGTATTATACTAAGCGAAATAAGTCAGAGAAAGACAAATACCATATGATTTCACTTATATGTGGAAGAAAAACAAATACATAGATAAGAAGAATAGATTAGTGGTTACCAGAGGAGAAGGGGGTGGGGGAAGTGGGGAATAAAGGGGTGCATGTGTATGGTGACAGATAAAAACTAGACTTTCAGTGGTGAACACGATGCAGTCTATACAGAAACTGAAATATAATGATGGACACCTGAAGTTTATACAATGTTATAAGCTAATATGACCTCAATAAAATAATTTTAAAAAAGCAAGTTGCATGATAGTGATGAAACTAATTTCTGCAGACTTTATTTTTAAATGTAAACTAGGCTTAAGAGTTCAGATTTTATATTTTATTGTTTTCTACAATTTGTGCTCGTTACAGTGAAGTCACACACCTTTGTATTCCTCAGTTTTCCCATTTGTAATGTCACTTGAAAGAACTGTCTGTCAGTATGATGATCTTGTGGAGAGCAGGGGGCTTTATTTCACATACAGTACTTCGATTTTAATGTACTATATAATACTTAGAGATTTTGACCGGCATTTTGGTAGCATAAATACTCAGTGTGTGCAATGCAAAGACATGCAACTCCACTCATAAATTCATAATTGATAGATGCTGTAAACATATTTATTTAAACCCTAGGGTAGTACAAAAATCTTTGTCTAATAGTAGCCCGCATTGATGCAAAAAGTAAAATGAAATTAGAGCTCTTTCAGATTGTTCTATAAATTATTATTGATTTTTGATACTTGCTGTTGACAAAGATTTTACTCTACTTTGAGATATTAAGAATGATTTCTCTCGTCCAAAAGCTCACAAAATTAATTGAAAGTGTACGTGTGTGTGTTTTTTTTTCATTCCTAGGCAATAAACTTAGGAAAATAAATTTGTCACTCAGCTAAAGAACCAAATTATTTCATTCCTAGATCTTATTACTTTGTGTGTTACGAAGCTTCGTATTAATTTAGAAAGTGGTAATGAAAAGCATATGCTTCATAACACCTTTTTATGAGACATTTGAACATTTTTCAAATATCATCTCATCAGTGTGCAAAAATACTCAGTAAGGTAACTCAGCACTGATGAGGACTGTTAAAATCTCAGCAATATTTTGTACAACCTGAGCAATACACCCTTGAATCAGCATGCTAGTATTGTGTTTGGATTAGGCATTGTTTTGAGTGTGTCCTTTGATGAAAGGAAGACATTCTCTGGAATAATCCTTAGCAAAAGGGTTCTCTGCATCATTTGTAATAGATATCATTATTTAATAAAGTATTTGTGATAATTATAATTATCTACATTCTCTTTTATTTTAATCAATGGAGTAGACCAAAACATGGAGCATTTTACCATTCAGTTTATTGGTAATCACTCTAATTATCTCTTTTGTTTCCTCTTTATCCATCCCCCGCACCCCTTTCTTTTTCTGCTCATAGCTCTATGCCATCCCTTGGTTTCTCACCATGTTTACTCGTAAGTATCATTTTCCCCTTTCTTTGAATATTGTATTAGCGAAAGGACAGCTCCATTCTTCCCAGTATTTATAATTGCAATAATATTAAGTAGATTCAATTATATAAATATCTTTATGTGATACTAATGTAATACATTTGGGTAGAAAAAATTTCAATTGTTCTGATTGCTGGATATCAAAAAGAGTTGTATAGGATGAAAACCTATTTTACATGTCGTGACATCATAAAATCTCTACCCTCTATTGAAAAAGAAATTAACATTAACTGTAGTATTTACGTAAAGCTTTGGAAGGCAACTTTTACAACCAAATAGGAAATTTTTAGAGATCCTCTAATACTTCATTATTTCCTAAACTAGAATTCCTCTAGAAATTAAGCAAATTATGTGAATGTGTAGTACTTTTATCAGTTACAGACATTAATACACTGGACATCCTACTTAAATATGTACATATAATAAATGGAATACAATATTTGAAGTAAAGCTGTATACCTTGGCCTGAAAAGATATCTACAGTATTGTGAAATTAAAAAAAGAAATTGCAAAAAATAGAAAATTGCTAATCAGACTTTTTGTTAGGAATTTAATAAAGCAATTATTTAGAGTACATAATAGAAATGTAATGATACTGAATCTAAAACAATACTAAAGTTCATCTAGGTAAATAAACTAGTGAGAATAATGTATGTGGAAAATTCTAAGAAGGAATATAATGAATGGAACAACTATACCAGATTGATAATGGAGGTTAGAAAATGTCATCTCTTCGAGCAATCTGATTATCACTTTTTAAGATGCCTTAGGAGTCAATAGATCTACAAAGCCAAATAAACAGTTTATAAAAAGTTTTACCTATGATCATAAGGTGATTGTCATATGTCTAGTAAAGCAGCTTGTTATTGTTTTAATTTTTGTTATTTTATTTTTTATTTTAACTTATTTTTTTACTTTTGTCATTTTACAGATGTATTTCCACTGCACAAAATTTTCCACCTCTGGGATACCTTACTACTTGGGAATTCCTCTTTCCCATTCTGTATTGGAGTAGCAATTCTTCAGCAGCTGCGGGACCGGCTTTTGGCTAATGGCTTTAATGAGTGCATCCTTCTCTTCTCTGATTTACCAGGTATAGATGGAATCACTAAATCAAATTTAATTATAAGATAATGAGGCATTCTTATAGCAATTTACAAAAATAATCATCTGAGCCTTCAGAATCTCTTCTGCTTGAGCCTCATCATCCCTCTCTGGATTCTCTGTCTGTACGCTGCCTCTTCTGTGGCCCAGCATTGTAGATACAAAACTGGCTCATACTAGCTCACTGTGGGCTTGTTTTCATGTCAGTGATGCCACCAAAAGGGTGAAAGAGCTGGGGGAATGACATATTTGCCTTTTTGCTTAGAACAGGCCTCTTTATCTTCAGCTGATAGAGAGTAAATAAAGGCCATTGGGAAGGTGTTTGAGAATCTATGTTTATACAAAGATGTAATTCACATGGAACCCTGCTCTATCCTATCCATAGCTGTTTGCTAACAATTTGACAGTTTGAGGAAAGAAAACACTCTCCAGGGAAATGCCACATCATCCAATGCAGGATAGTAAATTAAGCTACATATTATATTCGCAGGTGAGAAGTTTATAAATCTAGGAGTTGAATTCTTAAGTGTAGGAATATGGACTACAACTGTCGTCTAAGCTTTGATGCTGTAGTTGAAAAGATCAAAGTAACGTGGTTACCTAGGATATAACAATCTGTGGGAGAAGAAAGTTAAACTACATTTTTGGAGAAACCAAAATGTTTTTCAGGTAGAAAATTCTACTTTCTTCAAACAGCATTTCATTGGCTCCAACCTTTTTGCTGAGTTTATTGCTATTCTCCGTATTTTCAGGCAGGCACAAGTGACTGTTGATGATAAACGTACTTAAAATTATCCCTGAGGTAGATTTGCCTGAAAACCAAAGAAAGAGAGAAAAAAAGGTGCCTTAAGATTGTATATTTATTAAGCACTCCTTGGAGGAATAATAAACCTGATGCCTACCCTGATTTTTATTTTTAGTGAATGATCTGCATCTGGTACTGCACCATCTCTCTTTGTTGAAAATCTTCATCCTTTTTGGGAAAATGATAACAAAAATGATTGGATTTATTTAAAACTTCTGCTTCTCAGTTCCCCCAAAATTAAAAGTATCATCATCAGCTTTCTAATTTTATTAAAGTAAATTATTTCTTATATGAACAAATAGTAGTTTAGTTCTTATATTATTTTTTTCTGGGAGATTCTTTATGAAAATCAAGTTACCGGTCTTTTTTTTTTCCCTTCTGGTGTTGAGCAGTAACAAAGAAGCTAGTTTCACAAACTAGGAATACCGTCTGTACCCAGAGATGTTTTCCTGTCATTCACAACTTGCCAAAGTTAAACAGAGGATGATTGATTAGGATTAAAAGAATTTTTTTGGTCAGTTCTAAAAAAATATATTAGGAATGCTGATTGTGCATTTTCAATCAAGCAGATTTAATGCCGTTCCAATTCCGTACATAAATGCGCCAGTTAAACACTGGTGAAGAAATCTGTTTTCTGTTGTGTAGGCTATTAGTGGTAACTCTGCTTGTCATTAAAATAAAATTATTATTTCTGAAATCAGCAAGTAAGAATATATATTTGTTAGAACTGACTCTTGAAAAGGTAAACGTTTTAAAGTAGGATGCCTTCTGTTGATGGGGATTGCCTTAATCCTCGCTGCTGTTATTCTGGCCCGTCACTTGCTTGGTCACTGTATATGATTCCTGTTGTGGAAGAAAAAAGTTTGAGAAAACTGTCACTGGAAGAAAAAAAAAGAAAGGGTTTAAATGCAGACTTTGCCCTAAAGTACACTGTGTTTTGTTTTATTTTTAATCTAAGTGCACTTATTTAGGATGTCTTTCCTAAACAGATCTAAAAAGATATCTTTTTTCATCATATTGAGCCCCCATCATGTTGAGATACTTGATGCTTGAAGGAAGTGGGAGTGGTCATGAGAAGTCCTAAGAAGTGAACCCAAGTTAATACGCACACAGACACCTGTGTGCCTTTTCAGAGCAAGTGCATCCACCTCTCACTGCCTGTGTAAATCAGGAAACTCTCAGTCTGGCTCTGCTGCTGGACAAGTGGCCTGTAGAGGGAGATAGATGTGAGTTCACATCCCAGCTCTGGCACACAGGACCTGTGTGAACATGGGCAAGTTTTTAATCTCACTGGAAAGAGAATCCTATACATTATGAAAGTGTCAGTAAAAATGGAGATAATAATATCTGCTTTAGTGTAACGGTGAGCACTAAAGATAATATACATAATGCACCTGACACGAAACTCGGTACCAAGTATGCATAACTATTTTTTTAAGGGCATGTAGTATTTAATATTTTAAATATGTAAAGAACGTGTAACATTTAATCTTTGTAAGTTCCCTCTCATTTCTTCCTCTTCTTCTTCACTTTCTACTAACCCTTTGATTCGTGGAGAACACAGCAGAAAGACATATTATTTTTGCCAAAAATTGTTCCCTCTTCTGTTCCCTTGCAATAGATGATATAGTGTGATGTTACATTCCAAGGAAATACAAGTGGTACTAAAAGTTCTTGGCATGTATTGGTATGTGTGTCATTTTAGTACCACGGGAAATAACAGTGAGAGCGGTACGTTTGGCATTTCTCAAACAATCTGAAAATAGTGGCAGGGTATTTTGGAAGAAATATGGGATTTTTCATAGCACCACTCAATACTGTATGTTGGCCACTGGTATTAAGAGAACGGTTTCCAAGGTTACCGTCCTTTCAGCCTGATTACAGGATGAGGTCTGTCAGCCTTCAGCCTGCTCTCTCCAATATTATTATGCTATAATGTCCATCTGGCTGCTTTTAAAAAAAAATTCTTTTGAGGATACATCCAAGCATTTTTCAAGATGAATATGATAATCTGAATAAAACCAAAATGGTAATGATTTTAGAGTGGATTTGTAATAGCTGAGATGTTTACATGCTGTTTTGTTCTGTTGGTATATTTTCTTTGTACAGTTGAAAATTAATTCAACATATGTCATTATACATGGCTGAAATAAATTCTTAGAGTGCATATCTTTGTATCCCTGAGCATCTTCATAGATAGGAATATTTAGAAGCAGAAAAGAAGTTTTTCTTAGAGAACCGGTAGAAAGAAATTGGGAAAATGGTGTGGAAGAACACTTAATTTAGTCTCAGAGAGTAAAATAGTTACTTTAACATTAAGAGAAAGAAATATGTATGTATAAACTATTTTAGAAGGAAATACTGAGTATGCTGAAGGGACTTCAGCATATGAAAAATTTCAAATCCTATTTGCAGAAAGAAATGGAACGTTTGGCTGAAAAATATTAGTTGCATGATGTATGTTTTGTTACAGAAGGTTAATTGAAAGGAAAAGTTTTAAATAAAATTTTAAAAGATTTCAGCATTACCAACATCCTTTGCGATAGGATTCTTTTTCAACACATACAGGAAAAATACTGTTATGTAGCACTTCACTGGTTCCCCAAAATATTGTGTTAGTACCTTAAGTAGCTAGGAAAGGTACTTATCTATTCTGACTTAAAGCACTTTTGTAATGCAGGTTCTCATTATATAGCATAGCATGGAATATTTCATGAAAGCAATACATTTTTTGAGCAACACAGTTATGTGCCAGGTTGCCTAAGATCTATGATAAGAAATCCAGGCCATTTTTTTCAGATAACATACAAGTATGTTGGGACTGAAACAAAATGAGTCAAGTTATAAAAACTAAGAAATAGAGCAAAGTACTAAAATATGCAAATTCTTTAAAGCCAAGGCTTGTTATTTTCCTGTTTATCCCCAAGATGAAATTGGATGTTGATGAGGATGAGAAAGTGAGGAGAAAATTCATTTCAATTTGTGAAATTTCATAGATTTTTAAAGTACTTTGGATGATCACTGGCATGGGAAAGGGAGAAAGAAGGACAATGAGAAGTGATCTGGGTTTTCAATGAACATTTTCTTGCTTTCATTTAGGGATAAATATAAATGAAATAGGGTTACCATAACATGTATGTGGAATCCTCCAATTGTAAACAGTGGCTCAGATTTTTAAAAACTATAAAACTTGAGCCAAGTATAACTGATTGTATCTAGTAAGCTACTAATTTGTGACCACTTTATTAAATAAATAGTTACAATGGTGATGAGTGCTACAGACAGCAATAGGAATTTATAACAGGGATGCGACCAAGTATGGGAGAGTTACAGACCTTCCTTAAGTGAGTGATGTTGAAGGTAATATCTGAAATTAATGAAGTGACACTGGGGAGTGGGAAGTAGAGAGAGGAGAATCTTCTAGACAGGAAGAAAATGCTCAAAAACCTCAAAGAACTAAAGGATTTGGAGTGTACTTACAGCAAAAGGGAAGGTGGCTAGAAAAGAGAATGGAGAGCTGGACAAAGAATGATCCTGCAGGGTCTTGTCAGCACATCAGGGATATTCTAGAAATATATTTGTAGAGATATTTTCTTTCTTTTCAGTGTTTTTCAAAGAATGAAAAGTATCCTTGAAAATAACATCAGATACCAAAATACGAATGCTATATATTTTTTGAGCATTCTGATTTTTACATTCCTTTCAAGGAGCTCTATCATGAGCAAAACAAAAGATTCTTAACATAAGTGCTCCCAGTAGTTATCTATCATTCCTTTTTTCTGGCTTTTAGCCCAATACAGGATGGAGAGCTGATTTGGTCAAAGAGTAGAGCAATGGTAGTACACAGTTGTTCAGTGAGGTTTTGTATTGTCAGCCCTCTGAGATTTGATACCACTTTACCTGAAGCTGAGAAACCATTAATTATTCACATTTCGTGCTTGTAGCTACATGATGTTAATCATGTCTATTTCTAAGTGCATCTTCATGGAATTGCAAAAAGACAATCATAGTGGAATTTAAACATGGATATTTTAACTATGGTCCTCCTCTGCCCTGCCACACCCATAAAAATTACATATTAACGTTGAGATTTAGATGGAATATTAAATTCTTATGAGTTTAAAATTGGTTAAGGATAGATGAAAGAATAGTTAATTTGTTTTCATTGACATGATTGTATAGTC